TAATTCAGGACAAATAAAGCGGGATAGAGGAATCGATCAATTTCTAAATAATATAAAATTTGTTCTAGTAATTCAGGTAAGTTAAAAATATTTAGTTGTGCCATTCTCAAGTTGTATATATATCTTTAATCGTGAAAAAACAACTAATGTTCGAATAATTAATTTTTAGGCACATATAGCATCCGTTTTTCTGTTATTCTCAAACTTGTTTTAGCTTCTCTACTAGCTCATCTGATGTCAGGTCTAATCCATATTTTCTGGCTTCTAACTGATTATTGTGAGACAATCCACGGAGGAAATGTTCCTTAAGATAAATTTCGTTATTATCTATTCCCAATGCTGTTATGTAATATTTTACCATCTTATAATGTTCTTTTACTGGTAGAGATATTTGTTTTGGTGGCGGGAATTCTCGTGGAATATCCAATAATATATCAGTTCCATCAAGCAATGTGAGAGTATGATTGGGAAAATTTATTTCAGACATATTTGCCTGAATCCATGGTGAACCTAATAACAGTACATGTGCAAATTCGGGTTTATTAGGAACTAAAATATCGTTAACCTCTACCTGTTTCCATTTATTGTCTTTGGATCGGAAAGAAGAATTTATTTTATGGATTCTTCCTAGTATTGTTATGCTATCCTCTATAGTTAAATTATTCGGTAATTTTTCAGATGGAAAAGGGATTAATAGTTTTGCCTCTTCTTTATGGGAAGTATCAATCTCTAAGCCTAGTACATCTACTAAACCCCTGCCTATAAGATCACAATTGCTGGTGGTATCTAGTATACGTAGTTTTAACTGGTACTTTGTTAATTTCGCAAGATAAAATTCTCATTGTGATGTTTTATTATAACAATATATTTAATTCTGCATTTTTAAATTCATATTAATAAATAATAATTTCGTATTTACAATGACTGAAAATAATAACAATATTGATGACAACCCAGTGGAAGAATTCATAAAAAACTTTAAACGATGTTTGATTGACGTCAATGATGAAGTTGTGGAGGGCATAGTTGATTCAGGCTCAAAATGTCCAATTATCACTTATGAGGTTGCGAAAAAATTTGGTTTCATAAAAGATAAAAGTTTACCCAATGTTATCAATGAAGTGGTATATGATATTGTTAAGCAAGTATCGGGTAAAAAAAATCTGGATCTCTCTTCACCGATTACTGGAGATAGTGAAACCGAGATTCAGCAAGATATTATAAACTCGATAACAAACTCGGACATTTCTCGAAGAAATCATACACCATCTGAGGTTAAAAGAAAAAAGAGATTTTTAAACAATACCGCATCTGAGTCCTCATCATCGTCTTCATCCTCATCCGGGTTCGACTCTGAATCGTCTAGCTATGAAGTAACTACCCCCGGCAACGATGATAAAGTTTTTACTGTGGATATGGTAGGCGAAAACCATTGTTCCGCAATAAAAGTGAAGAAGCGTAATTAATCTCGATCATGGATATGAAATGGTCTTGCTTGATCTGGGGACTGTCCTTTTTTTCTGTAATTGACCACAACATAATGTTGAACTGGAGAAATAAGGTTGTCAGGCGCATGATGTAAACATTTGCCAGCGCTTGTCATAATATATCCTGGATTCTCTGCTTTGTGTACTACAGCACCATATACTGCTCCCAATTTACGTAAGTATTTAGGAATTAAATAATATTCTTTTAAGAATCTATTGAACCATTTAACTCCTGGCTTTCCTGGGTCACCCATACATTCAGAAGATATAGCCTTCTGGATCCAGGTAAGCAATTCCTTAGCTCATTCTTAATTCTTCTCCATAGATCTAAATTTCCTAGGAATAACTGGTTGACACTGATTTTTCGCATATCCTGTTACTCCAGCATCTGTAATACGCAAAGTTGTAAGTTTAGCAGGATGAATACAAAGCATCACCATGACATCAGCAAGAGCCCAATAATTGGGCGAAGTTTTTAAATCATACTCATTTAATCTCTCTTTGACCGATTCTAATATAAATTCATCTGGATAATCAATACGATTATTTTCTGATTGTCTCTCTGGATTTTGTTAGCTTCTTCTGTAATGTCGGGAAGTTTCGTGGCCTCAACTATTGCGGGTAAAGCACCAAGGCTTCTTAATTCTCTTCTGAGTCGGGAAAGACGTGATGAATCAATTTGACGTTTTTTGCTTATACGGCTAAGGTATAAGCTTCAGCTCTTATATCTCAAATACTAAGCTTATCCCATAAAAGCCGATGCGCCATCTCTCCAATCGTTTCTTGTGGGACCAATTAGAAATAACAATGTTTATTGTAGAACAGGACACTTTGTGCATGGTTTTGCTTTTGGGTTGGTCATTTTTCTGAATAGAGAATAAGCCATCCACTTGATCCATATCTATTTTGCAAAATTCATTTTGCTTTCTCTCTGATCTCTTCTTCCGAACTTTTTGGGAGCTTGGTTACAACTATTCTACAACTACCTTTAACTAAATTTATAATTTTATTTTTTCCACCTCTCTGATTAGATATTAATATACTTACCTGCTCACTGGTAAATTTGAATCCCTCTCGAAGACACCTTCGTGCCTGATTCCTTTTTCTATCATCAGTAAGATTCTCAAGAAACTCTGAGGTGTATTGACTGAGATTGGTCACACTTATCTCAGAACTGAGATTGTATTTTTCAATGATTTTAGTTACAATAGCTGACATGATCGAATGTTATAGTAGGTTGGGTAGGTTATAGACAGTTCTTTAGGTTATATACACTATAAAAAATATTTTTTCAAATAGAAATTAATTACTCTTCCATGCTCAGAAAAAGAGAGTATATACCTACATATGGGATAACCGGGACATCAATCTGAAATTTACTATTACATAGGATATAACAAAAAAAAAAATAGTATAACTTCGGGGGTAGGAGCCCAAGCTATATTAAGATTTATAATTCATTTTTTTTTTATAATGCTTGGAATAGATTCTAATATGGTTCTATACTTATCGACTATTTTTTGTAAATATTAGATCTATTTTCCATTATATCAATCAGTGGTATCATAGCTAGATGGAACAGAGCATTCATGAATCTAATTTGCTCATGATAATAATAATCCATAATATCTGATAATTGTAGAAATTCTGCTAAATCTTTTACGTATCTAAAACCATTGCATATTAGTTTGCAGAACATTGATCCATTGTGATCGATCTCTCTTTTGGTTAATAAGTTGACTACTTTCTGAGGTGTTTCCATTTTTAAGTGTGATGTATAGTATCAATATAAATTCGATTATATTATTACAAAATAATTTGGAAAAGTTTAAATTGATTTTATATTAAATATATTCACATAAAAAGTGAAACGAGCTTTATATATTATATATTAAATTACTTTTAATGGGATATCCAACTAGTTCATACATTAAAGAAGACAATTCAGAGTGTTCAACATATCAATATGTTAAAAAAGATAGACCGGGGTGTTTAACCTGCCCATATGTTAAAAGAAATAGTTCGATTTGTGAAAAAGGGACATAGGATATTTATTGCACTGGAAATTATATGATATGAATATAGCAAAATTTCCTTGTAGGATCTGTGGAAAACTAACAATTTCTGGGACAGAATATTGTCCTGAACATGCAAAGAGGTTTACTTTTGAAATTAATATGAGAGACAAAAGGTACAAAGAATAGAAACAGATGAAAAATTATACTCATTTTTATTAGATATTAGTTTTAAGCATTACAAAAATGATCTTCATAGTGGAATATTTTTTATAACTATTATTTTTAAGCATCACAAAAACCCCCTTTGTAAGATATATCATGGATCTTAAATACTTATTTTAAATGATATCAAACAATTCTTGACACAACTGTATATCAGAATTGGGAGTGATATCTAATTCATCAGATGAGAGTTTATTATATCTATAATATATATCTTTATTATTTTCATAGAATTGTTCTTCATCCGTTTGATATGATAGCAACTTTGAGGTGCTTTCTTTATTAAATAGACCTACTAGATGATAATGAATTCATCTATTGTTAGTAGCTTTATACTTTATCCCATAAGTTGTGAAAAGTGCTAAATTTAATAAATAAAGTTTCGCTTTATTCAAATTTTTTAGTACTATGAGACATGTTTGTATTATCAAAAGCTCAGACCATTTTTGATACTAAATCTTGAAGATACTTTATAGACTTAAGTGATTCTAAATATAATTTAACAATATCTGCTGTATATCTATCCTGAATATAAATATCTTTAATAGGTGTACAAGTCTTTAGTAATTTCAGACAAATTTGATACTTCTCAACTTAAGTAGCAATTATAAGTCTATCATTTCTATAAGCTTTACAGATAATAGTCTCAACTGCTATTTCATTATTAGCGCTTATATCTCGTAGTTTCCAAAGGTTTCTGAACCATTTCATATAATTATATTCATTATAATCTGTGATAAATTCTTCTGTTAAAGATTCAGGTGACATTATATAGCAATCTGCAATATGATACCGGCTTAGCACATACATTTCTTCTAAAATCTTCTTTGGCTTGTTTTCTAAATATTCAGTCATCTCATAATTGAGAATATTGGCATTGACAATAACTGAAATTTCCTTTGCTTTAATGGTCAAAAAATACCCCTTTACTGTTTTAGTTAATGTCATGGTATCATCTTTAACTTTTGGAGTGGTTTTTATTATAGAAATTATCATACCTACCTTTTTAAAAAAATCTACCATTCTCTATCCAAATAAATAATAAGATCAGAATTTTTCCAATGTGTGGGCAATCCACAATCAAACTATTGAGATGTTCTTATTTTGAATAATAAATTTTATATTTGAAAATATTCTTCTATTCTTAAGCTCTTGAGAGAGAGATGATCTTTATTCTATATGGCATGTGTATTCTTTAATATATCTCATATGGAATAGTATTTGATTTATATTTGTTTCTATATAATTATTAAAGAGACAGAATGCTCATTTAAACTTAAGATTGATATAAAAAATGTCTATTTTTAAAGTACTAGTATATACAACAATATCTATTTCTTTTCATACTTCTTCTATATCACTAAAATCATAAGCCTTTTTTACTGGATCAGATTTACTATGATAATTTTTAATATGTTATTCAAAAAAATCAATCCTAAGAGTATAAATAATTTTTTATATATCTTTTCTCAGATGACAAATAAGTAATACACTTTTTCATTCATTGGAAGGTAATGAAGATATCTATTTTGTCCAATCCCAAAGTTCAATTAATACAATTTTTTTATTAGATACTAAGTGAAATGTTTTACTTTTCTGGTGTTGATAAGTGTTGTGGATAATAGAAAAGGATTTATTTTTATGAAAACTTTTAATCCATTTTATATTGAGATCTGTTAGATTATTATTTATAACAATAATCTGCTTTGCTTCATAAATTAACTTATATAAATGCTCTTTTAATTAATTTGCTAAGTGAGTGTAAGCTTTATTAATACAGATACTATCTTATCTAGCCATAAATAATATGGTATTGGATAACACTTACATTTTTTATTATATTTACATTTATTAATTATACAGTATAAACTTTCTATTTGACACATTACTCTTTGATGATATAAAAGGTTTATATTCTTAGTATTGATATTATAGTATAATTTGATATTTATCCTTGTAGTGATAGTACTAAAATAAATATATCATGTTGATAAAACAAGTAAATTTATACTATTGAGAATAGTAAGATATTTTAAAGTATAAGTAAGTTTTTCTTATCTTCCAAGGTGAGTCTACATATATATCTCCTTTATTAGATAAAAGTTTTGCATATTGCTTTTTATAAACTTCCGTTGCAATAAGAAGAAAATCACAATTAATTCAAGCTAATGTTTCTAAAAAAGGCTATAGAAATTTTAAACTCTTCTCCTTATATATAACAGGTGATAAAATATTATTTTTTGCTAGATTTTTTTTGCAATAGATGAGTCATTAAAAATTATCCACTGTTTATCTTTATTTTGTTGAAAACATTTCACAATGAATGACTTATTATATATGCATGATCAAATCACTACTAATCTTTGTTGTATATGCAATTGCATAATAGATATTCTAGATATGCTTTCTGACTAAAGTATATAAAATATTGAAAATATTTCAACTTCTGAAATAATTGAAATATTTCTGCAGAATTAGATTTGTATATTTTTTTAATGCATCTTGACCCACTTCTAAAATAAAATTGAAAAATGTTAGATAATCTAATTTTAAGATAATAGTACTAATACTAATGCTATAAAATAGAAGACCATTTTTGTTACATTTAAAAAACAGGTTTGTACATAGTAATGGATCAATAATAAATATGTAATCTTGAAAAATATAAGTCAGAATCAATTAAATTTGTGATTATTTACTATGTTACTTTCAAAAAAAC